CGCGGGTGGCGTCTGTGATGGCAGGAGCTGCCATTAAAGAGCGTGACTTATTTCCACTCAGCCTTATTTCTGCTTTCCCACAGCTCTCGCACGTCCAGGTCTGGCTCCAAACTCCCTGCCAGGAGCAGCTGGGAGCCAACACCCCGGCCCAGACCAGCCCCAGGCCCTTCCCAGCAGGATGTCGCGCCCCGTCCCCATCATAGCAAGCGGCCAACAGAGCAGACAGCATGTGCTAAGGCTCCGTTTTATTTCTTTTTGGCCTTGTTCCTCTTCTCCTCCTTGAGCTTCTTCTTGGAGAGCTTGGGGCTGCTGGCTTTGCGGTAGAGGTGGAGGCCGATGAGGCCCAGGAGCGCCGGGAGCAGCGCCAGGCACACGAGGGGCAACACGTCGTTCAGCACCTTCTGCCAGTAGCTGGCCCGGCTCAGGGCCACAAGCTCCACCTCGAACCTGAGCACGGCATCGCCTGGCGCGGGGACACGCGTGGCTTGAGCGGGACCCCCCGGCCACCGTGGGGACAGCGTGGGACAGCAGGGACCCACGCAGACCCCCAGCGCTTACCTGGGATGGTTGGGGGGGAACCTCGTTTGCCATATGCCAAATGCGGGGGGATGATGGCTCTGCGCTTCTCCCTGCCATGGCAAGGAGCTGTCAGGGTGGCCGGGACACAAGGGACAGGAGGAGCTCGGGAATGTCGGGGTCACCAGGACCTCATGTTGGACCGAGCAGCTTCCGGCCTTGTCCTGGTCCCCAGCACAGACAGTGGCACCCGGTGTCCTCCCCGGCTGCACTTACCCCACGCACATGTCCAGCAGACTCTGCTCCAGCCCTGCCGGGAGGGAGGGGACACTGAGCAGGACACAGGGACAGCCACCAGCCCCCCTTGTCCCTGTCCCCAGCTGGGCACCAACCGGGGATCACTTGGCGCTTGCCCAGCTCCACCTGGAGCGGGTCCCGTGTGAGCGACGTGTCAATGATCCGGCCATCCTCCAGGCTGCCCTGCAGGACGCACAGATATGGTCACCGCTGTCCCACCACTGTCCCTGTGCCAGTAGCCATTCTGATGCCACCCCAGAGACACCCCCAGGCCGGTCCAAGTGCTGCCCAGGGCCACACGGGCTCCCTCCCCCTGCTGGTGCCAGCCCCAGTGTCACCTTGGGGCTGTCTCCATATGGGTCCCAGAGCCACCAAAGGGCTCTCCCCATGCAGGTCCCGGTGCCAGCGCTAGTGCCACCCCCGTGCAGAGCTCACTGAGCTCCCAGTGTCACTTGGGCACCATCCCCATATGTGTCCCG